TGTAATGGTTTTTTTTTTTATTATTATTTAGTTAATGATAAAATAACCCTGCACAACATGACATTTTACCACTTGAACTAACCTTGATTTTTCATGAAAAGGTTATATTATCTTTTATATTAAAAGACTTTAAATTAAGTCAATTATAGTAATTTAAATAGTATATTTAATTATAAATCAGAAATTAAATACATGATCATAGAAAAGGAGTATTAATCGTTCATTGTATGGAAGTATTGCATTTCTAATGCATTATTTAATAAATTAACTGATCGGACAAATAGAAAAACAAATAGAAAAATTTAAATAAATACTGAGAAAAAATGTTGTGGTACAATATGATCTGAATCTCTTCTGTGTTCCGTGGTATACGGCGAGGGGAATCTAGGCCTACATGAGAGTGGAGGTTTACCTCCTCTAACAAGACATGTCTCAAGCTTTATCAGCATGTGATAGACTGGTTGTTTTGTGCCGTAATCAGTTTGTCTGGAACTTCCCAGAAAATGTCAGAGAAGAAAGAAGTCTGTTTCATGTAGATGAAAGTAACATCCCCAATTTTACATGCTGTCCCAATTGGTTTCACTAAATCAATCTGAAAGACTAGGGCATGCAGAGAATCATTTGATGCCCCTTGTGTCTCTCCTAACTGTGACTTTTGCCCCTTGCGTGTGTACTTGCTCTTTTAAAATGTTATGGAAAAAAGAAATCGAGGGCATTAAAAGGATGTATGATATTCTAGTGTCCAAGTTTTATCAAATGACTTGTCAGTTCTTTTTTGAAACAAGCGAACAACCTTTCTCAGCTTTACCACTCAACTTCCTTTCTAAAAAGGCGAAGACATGAAAAGACAACAACCTTGATGTTTAATCTATTCATTTTACAGATTTTGTTTAGTCAGTGTTATATTTTTTATGATTAAGCATGTAGAACTCGAGAGTAATTTCAATCACTTAGCATGCCAGTAACAATGATAAAAGAAAAAAAGCGATTACTGAACTAAATCAATATGTCTAGAAAGCCTAAACATTGATTTAATCCTCATTTTTACCCTAATTCGTCTGCCCTGTTTAAGGCATGCCAACTCACTCATCGACAATGAATCCAATTAAATTACTCTGCAAAATTTGTCTCAATTTGGTGTCATTCACTGTTCAGCAGCGTGGAGGTTACAGCCAAACACTGAAACACAAATATTAGTTCAATTGATAATCCAATTGAAGAAGAGCATTTCCCAAATCCCCCAAAACTCAAGAAGGCCTTAGTTCTTATTTTAGAGGGAGTTAAGGTAGATGTATTTATAAATATCTAAAAATGACTTTTAGTAAAATAAATACATATTTTACTATCTTGAATGATCTTAAATTTAATTTGAAGAAATCAGTCAGGATTGTAAAATAAAATTAAATTATTACAGTCTTGACTCACCTTAACAATTGTAAATGCGAGATATGGCTCCGAGATGTGCATATTGAATCCCACCATTCAATACAATGTGTGACTTTTCATTTTTTTAGCACATTTTTTGTAACATTGTAAAAGCAGAAATCACCAGATGCAATGTGAATATAGCAATCAGACAGGACTCATGTTTAACTTTTGCAAACAAGCCAACTAAACACACAGTCTTGTGTTTGCGCAGGCGTTGAAAACATAGCTAATTTAGTACGGTGGTGTATTTTTTGCGCTTTTCAGAGTGTTATCAGGTCATCCCAGCATCTCGAAGTTGTTTGTTCATAGATGATTATGACTGGAACAGACAGCCTTGGAATCCAGAAGAGCATGGGACCTTCATGCGGGGCTGAGCCACCTCCGGGATCAATGTCTGCATTTTGTTGATCAAGAACTGCAGATCCACCATGCAAGATGCATTTTGTTTGCTAAATAATTATCTGAAGTCTCTATTCATTTGCAGATTTTTCACACACAAACAGAATGCATGATAATGACGTTGTATGGTTGAATAACATCTTCAGTCTTTATTTGGCACAATAGGTGATTAACAGAGTGAGATGGCTTCTGGTGCTTCTCTATTTACTGCATGCTTTGGCTTTGCTTTATTTGTTTAATGTCTTAATGTCAATTTCCCACTAAATAGAGTGGAATATATAAATATTTATAATTATTAACAAGTTTGAAATGATTAATCCATTGGCAATTAAAATATGACCATTCCACAGAGTCTAAAGGGTTCACCATCAGTGATGTAAATAATTTTAATATGTTAGTCATTTTTTAAAGATTCATGTATACTACACAGGGTTGAATGTACCTTAAAGGGGTGAATAAAATAAAAATGTACTCACCCTCATGTCATTTTAAACATTTTTTTTTAACCAAATTGTTTCATTTATGAACCAAAATATAGTATTTTGAAACCGTGGGACATGTGGTGTGTAGTGTTTGTGGGTACTACTGAATCGTGGGCACGTTCACTAACTACATTTAATGTAACGTTACATTTGGCATGAGTCGATTTTATTAGTGCGAGCCCTACACTGAGGCGGGCTGAACACTGGGCCATGGGCATTTTTTTAGCCTACACTCATAACACCATCGTCTGTGGCCAGAATACTAGAAAACACTACACTGCTTATATAAATTTACCTTGGAAACGACATCTGTGTGCAGGCAAGCGTCCGCATCGATCGACTCGAGCACCCTTCCTCTTTTAGCTCCCGCCAGCGAGCGAAGCGAAAGCTGGACCATTGTTGGTAATCCTCGTCCTTGCTTTGAATTTGTCACTCTCCCATTTTCTTTTTTTTAGTTTCCTCTGATAAAACCGTTGCTTTCTTTCTTGTAGCTGTTGTTCGGCCATAACGAAAACACACAGACGGCAATCAAACGCGAGTTGAACATTAACGTCAGTATCTGAGGAAGTTTGGGTTGCGGGGGAAGTGACGTATGCCGTATAGCGGTTGAATTTTGCAGTTCTTGTTGTGCTTGGGTTCCTACCCGAAAAACCCGAAGTTACAAAGTGCTTGTAAAAGCGATACAGACACCTTCAGGATACGGCAGACGAGTCATTCAACCTATTGCAAGTCGATGTACCATCTCAATGGGTTTTGGTAATATATTATAAAGGTTGAAGAGTTCCACAGTGTGGCTGTTCTTCTGTTGCTTTTTAACTGTCTACAGAAGGTGCCCAAATGGCCTCAACAACACACATGCCTGGAAGTTTCCAGTCACATAGCCTATACTTAGTAGGACTTTGGCTGTAAACACTTCCCTACTGTATAGTAGGCGAAAAACAGTATGTGACCACAGAAGAATGTCCGAATGTTCACACACACAGTAGCCTATAAAAGAGTAGGGGGAAAGTACCCGAGTGTACTTCTTCTAAGGTGTGCATGCACACGATCCCATGATTCAAAATAAGTAGCCTACTTATTTGGACACAGCCGTTGATTAGCTGATTTGGTCGCGTTTACTGGGGTTGGAGCTATAAACTCTGCAGGACAGTGGCATCCAAGGAGCAGGGTTGGACACCCCTGAATTTTGAACATAAAATAATGTTTTACCGCCATCTACTGGATAAAGGAAAAATAAATCTGCACAGTGACGCATGTCAGAGAGGATACGAATCTTATGAAACATTACTGAATGCAGTTAAAAAAAAGAATTATGCTTTATCTGCCCGTTCATATCAAATATAAAAGAAAAATAATGTGATTGCACTAGAAGTGAACATGCAACTTTAAAAATAAAGAAGAGGAGGATGACTGTGTGAGAATAATTTCACTGATTACTCGATTGTCAATTGGTCAGTAGGCTTGTTGTCAAAAAGGAACCTACTTAAAGCTTTGGAATTTGAAAACGTTTGTTTTAAAAAGTTGAAAGTATGTTATAGGCTACGTTTACCGCAGTTGTTAGTGGAATTGGCAGACATTTCCTTAGCTGCTGTTGAAAAGCGTCAAGGGCAAGGCATTCTCAGGATTTTTAACTAATATTTAATGTCGATAAACAATAGTTACATAATGTTTTTAAAACTAATCCTGCTATTGATATCTTTGTCAGACTTTTTTGCCCATTTTTCTGCACACATCACGTTAGGCCAAGAGATGGCGCTGATCGACTGTTTCAATAAGGCTCCCAAGAATTCAAAACTATAATGCTGATAAGCTGTAGATGGCGCAACTTGCTATGGTAAACGTTTAGCTTTCAATTCATATTCAGTTTTATTTCTACTTAAACGAAGGCGCTGACCACTATAAAGTGGTAGCTATAAAGATCCATGCATAGACAATATTTTAATAATTTGGTAATTATGTGGCACACACATGATCTGACAATAACATAAAGGAATTTAAGGAAATGACACTTAATTTTGGTTGCCTACACCACAAACCCTAACGTTAGGTTAGACGACAGCGGTGACTCACTGAGGGCAGCTTACATTAGAAATCTTCCACTTCTCTGTAACATTTCGCACATTGATGCGATTGTATTTTAAAGGAAGTGACTATATGATGACTTACAACAGGTCGTTTTCCGGTCAACTATAAAGCAATGATTGGCACGGCCCGGTAAACCAAATATTAATGCTTAATCAGTCATTAAGATAGCTAGAATGAATTGTTGTTCCAATGTTGTTGCCATCAACATTAATAACGTCAGGTTTCATCGATATGGTAATGGTGAGTCAACATTTACTTTGCATGGATATTTCAATATCAACCATAATGCTGATTTAGATCAAATATTGTCGTCTTGCTGTCTGAGTCAGGCTGAAGTTCCAAAAGTTTGCCCGTCTCATTACAGCTTATAGCAAACAACAGAGATAAAGACAAAGCAATCACAAGGAAACAGATTTAACCTCTCAATATCTTTCCCACCGATGGGATGTATGCGCCAGACTCAACCAGAGAGATACCTGTATCATTCACTGAATTACTTGTGTGTGTGAGAGAGAGACTGGATTCAGTCTTTTGATAAAACAAGGTTTGCTGTGATCTGTACATTTTCAAATTCAACATACTGCAATTGAAATGATTCAAGAAATCTGTGTACAAATAAGTTACTTTATTTAAATAGTCTGGTGTGAAAAACTACACCAATACTGTACATTTTAGAAGTGCATGTTTCCTCAGCAGATGAAACAAAGTCAGTTAACATTAGCTTTCTCACAGAAAACAGTCATTTTGTTGGATGGACTAAACCCAAGTAGCTAAAAACGTAAACGGTTACTGGTCTGAAAAATGTCAAGATAATAACAAATTTAAACAAAAAACAATATCAAATGTGCTCAACTTTTGGTGAGAAATACATGAAATACAAGGCCAGGACCAGTCATGGAGCTTCCATTTCTTCCTTTCATAATTTTCCTTAATGAAAAATGCTTCAATGAAGCAACTTCATGATAAATGGTACAAAAATACAGCAAAATACCATTCACCAACTATCCACTTACAACCAGTGTCCTGCATTTTGACACCAAATGGCAAGGCATTTCTACCCTTGTAACAGATAAATGAAACTGCATGTGCCATTCTTTAAAAATCAAAAGGATTAATTTGTCTCACATCTGAATGAAAAAAAAAGCAAGCAACAGAAGATAAAACATATGGATTAATCTTCTCATGAAGGCTAGAATACTAACCCCTGTTCCCAGTCCCTTCCATTTATCACTACTTGCAAGTAGTTTTGATCACCACACTTCTCGTTGCTGTAAAACACACGGCATAGTCCTTGTCTTGGCTTTTAAAATGAGCCAATAAATGTTGACAGTTCTTTTAATTATCTGGAATTCAGGTGATCCCTATAGCTAATAATAGTCAGTTGTCATTTTTCAGCAATATCTGAATTTTTACTGTTGGTGCATAATTTAAGGAAAACCAACATGCACCTTTACCAAACCATATTGCAGAATGGAAAGAAAGAAAAAATAATATTATAAGACCAGCTTATACTCAGGTTACACAGTTCATCCCATTTCTTCATAAAAGGATACTTGTACATTCTATTAATTGTAAAAAAAAAAAAAAAGAATAAAAATAAAGCAGACACTAATACATATGGCACCACGTTTTGGGGGAAAACGCTAATTGCCATTTTCCCGATAAAATTTAAACCATCTAGCTTTTATGGCAGGGGACCTTAAATCTTTTGTGGATTCAAGACATGACGGTTTTATTTTGATTAATCGTGCAGCCCTACAGTAATAGGACACTTTTAACAGAGTTGCTCTGCAATTTTCAGCAGTGGTAAACCAATTATTTTTGTCTTTCTCTGCGTATAGTCCGAGGACATACTGTCCAACCCCTAAACAGACCAATAATTCAGAACACTGAAGAATCAGTTCAAACAACATATCGGTTTATATCCGGCCGTCCTTATTTCCACTTTAAACAAGGAAATTGTTTCAGATTCTAACCGCTCAATCCCTAAAAATCACTACGAGTCCGACTCTTTAAAAAACCTCTCAAACTTGTCCAAGTACCCGGGTCGATGAGGGAGGAGGAAGTAATGCGTGCTGCTGACTTTCTTCCCATCTTCCATGATGGGCAGAATACAGGGGTTGCGAGGAGCCGGCAAGCCTTCACAGCTCTGCTTGTGTTGAGCCTTACTGACATACTCCGGATAGGGCGCAAAGCTCTGAGTAGGTGGCATTACCCCGTTGATGTAAATCGGGAGACTTTTTGGACTAATGGCACGTGGTATGACCTGAGGGATGGGGTCCCTGGGTGGAACTTCAGGGGGTTTGTCCGTATCAACGTCATCGGATGATGGCTGCCTGCTATCCGTGCTCTCACTGAGGCGAGCGCAGATTGGAACGCGAGGTGGGACTTCGGGTTTCTCCAGCAGGAGGCTGTGGGGAGAATGGTGAAGGCTGGTTGGCCTGAAGTTGGTGGCCTTGAAGGATCCAGCAGGGCCGGAATGGGACCGATGCAGCCGGCGTTGGTGTCTGTCTTGGTTCTGCCTTACTGCCTGCTCCCACTGGGGCTTCACCCCGCAAAGTTTCTGATGTTCTTGTACCCCTTCGCAATACGCAAAGTTTATCTGACCGCTTCGCCGAAAACTGCGCCTCCCTGGCAAGCCATACTGGAAGGTTGAGGTTTTAGGCACCAGACACTGGCTCTCAGAGGTACTGGAGAAAAACTCCACTTCGTTGTCTTCTGCTTCATCAGATGACAGGTCACCTATGTCTGGGAGGGGTGGGAGGGGCTTCGTTGTTCTCCTGGGCGAACAAGGGGGTATGTGCTCATAAACAGACAGTTTTTGTAAGGATGGAACCACCTGGTCTTCCTCTGGTGGGTGGCACTGGGAGGAAAACAGCAGCCGTGTAGGATTTGGAGTCTTGGGAGATAAACATGGAGGAGAACTGAAGCCAGACGTCCTTGCTATAAAGTAAAAATACAGAAAAGAAAATGATTTAAACTCAAAATTACTTGATTTAAACTCAAAATTAATTGATTTAAATCAATTACCATGACATACATGCTCAATTGTGTCAAACCTCATTTAAGTTGTTATTTTTCAATGACTTTATATCTTGAGATGGATCAATCGCCAGCCTCAACATAGGGAGCTTATCAAAGGATTCACTTATCAGACTTTCGTAAAACTTCCTCTAACCTTCTACACTTCCTGAGAAACATCCGCATCATGCTCCAAGAACACAGGGTGACCAGACTGATATAGCTGATAAAATTCAATCACGACTCACTTACTTTCAAAGCCCACGTTTGCGGAGTTTTGCTGATACATTCTCAAGCTGTGATCCATGGACTCCGACCCAAATCCAAAAAACAGCCTGCAAAACACAAAAATGGAAAGTGTCAAAATCTAGAGACTAGAGAAGAAGGTCTCATAATACACAAGTTAGTTGAGCTGAGGACGGCTTTCACACTCACTTATCCATGGTGTCGTGGTCATAGCGTTGATCCCAGTATGGTTGGGCTGTGGCCATAATGTTTAGGAGAGTGGAGGCTAGTTCAGGCCTGTGGGGGTCTCCACTATCCTGCAGAACTCAATCCAGCCATGGGCAACCAAGACAGGACTTTTGTGCTCCACTTTTCCAGCAGCAATGGGAAAACCTGCATGGGGGAGGCGGGTTATTAGGCCACTTTTTTCAGCCATCTTAAAATGGTTATTTTTTAATGCAACAGTAATGGTCATTTTATGTCTCCGTCTTTCTTTCTCACCAAAAAACTAACTAAAAGTTAGTTACACATTTCATTGTCCCTCCAATAAAATTTAGGCTAATATATATATATATATATATATATATATATATAGATATATAGTACTGTTCAAGAGACTGGAGTTAGTAGGATCGCACTGAATTGATCAAAGGTGCCAGTGAAGACATTTATAATCAACCAAAAAAAAAAAAAAAGTATATTTCAAATATTTGTTCTTTTAACAAATAGTTCTTTTGTTTCTATTAAGGACTTCTGAAAAAAAATGACAGTTTCTACAAATATATTAAGCAGGACAACATAAAACATTTTTGGAAAGATAATGCGACACTGAAGACAGGTAATGGCTGCTTGAAAATTCAGCTTTGCCATCACAGAAATAAGTTATATTTTAAAATAAACAATTATTTGAAATTATAATTGTTTTTAATTAAACAAATGCAGCATTGGTGACCATAAGATATTTAAAATACATTTAAAAAAAAAAAAAAAAAGCAAAAGCAATTGCATCCAAAATAAAAATGTGCGTTTACAACACACACATTTATACATGTATACATTTAAGAAAAATGTGTTCTTTATACTGCCTTATAGCAATAAGGAACCATCTCTCTTCAAGCCTATGCAAGTAATCATTTGTGCAGACAAAAATAATCTCCACTTGAAGCAATTAATGTCGAATCTAAATCACCTATTTAAAAAATCATTATAGAAAAAAAAAAAGTCTTGCGCCTTAAGATGAATGCAGTTCTTCCATTGTTCCAACAAACAGCTCAGCTATGAGGCTGCGGTGATGCAACAGTTCCTTAAGACACTACACCAAAACACAATAAAGCATCTGTGCTAGAAAACAAAACCATTCAGTGAGAAATGTGCTGGAATGCTTGGGCACAAGTCAGAATGTAATCAATGAAATACCCATGCAGGCTACATTATGCAACTTATCACATGCTCTGCCTCTGCTTTGCCTCACTCAGAACCGTGAAAGGCAGTAACTAACAATCGTCAATTCTCCCAGTAAAAACCTCAATGCAGATGCGATGCTAAAGTATAAATGGTTCTTTGTGCGTTTGCGTTGGGGTGAGTGCCTGTGCATTTTCAACATCAGGCAGCTCTTATCCGTGAGGTTAAGGCATGAAAGAGGTGTGAGGACGTCACCAGCAGGGCCTGGGAGAGGAGCCAGAGGACGCACTGATCTACTACTCAGAGGAACACCATCAACATGCCAAATAGCACAGTGGTGCAAATTACATCTTAAAAAGTAACGCAACAGAAGGACACACACGCACACAAAAAATAGCTTCCACTAGAAGCTTCTTCTTACTAGAAGACAGAAGTAGTTTTACCTGAGGAGATAAACAAATGTTTTGCGGTCCAAACAAAGTCTATTTACTTTTCCTTGCACAACTTTGGTTTAATAATAATAAAAAGCGTGTATGTGTTGTTTAACTACTGTATGACTATACTAGGTCCATGCTGATTCTTCCATCCAGATTTGGGTTTTTAATGGTGTTTGTGCAGACACATTTTTTCCATTCAATTATTTTGATAAATCACCTTACCTCACCTTAATTATGTATCTTAATTATGTAATATGCAATAATATATCATTAACGCCTATAAGACATGGTAGGCTATAAGCAACAGCGTGAATAAAGATAGGAACAGATTTTATATAGGAGAGGCCAGCCTACAGAAGCAGGATCATCTGGAGCACGAGGTTGTCAGGCGCTCGAGCGAACAGGAGATGAATTGCTACACAAGACGTGCAAGAGTTCAGACATCTGTTTGTAAATGATAAAGCAGGTTACTACTACACGGGGCAGATCGTAACTTACTCAACTGGTTGTTGCCTTATAAACAGTTCTATGAGTGACGCAGGGCCGCTTGTAAAGTATGAAATTGCAGTGTGAATAAGATCCTTCTGATATATGGACAGTTTTCTACATCGGTTTCAACACACCCACTGACAAACCCTTTCTGACTCAGGTGCGACTCATCTCATATTCCGGTCCAAAGAACAACTATTAGCCTATACGGAATTGTGAATTGCACCCAAGTTAATTGTTTGATATATTTATCTGGAAAAAAACCCATAAGAATTTAAAAATATTTAAAGCTACTTACCGGTTAAATGTTTTGTAGGGTAGGGTTGTGATTAAACTGCTCTCCTATGTCCGGTATAACTAAAGTGCTGTTAGTAATCCGAGCGAATCTTTTGTAACTATTTATTATTAAACAAAACGCACGTGTTGTAGAAGATGCTGCCGCTCAACAACGTATCGCTTTCATCATGGAAAGCTGCGAGCTGGAAACTATTTATAAGGAAGGACTGCTTACGTCATACCATAGGCACCGCCCTCTGTCTTAAAGGGGCCGTTTAGTGCGACCTTGTGACATGCAACACCTCTGGTTCAGATATTTACTAAATTATTAATACTTAAGATTCTCTGTATTGAAACGTTATTATAAAACTCATTTCAGTCTCGACTCTCGCATGATGATATTATAAATGCCAAATAGTCGTTGAGATAGGCTAATTAACAGGCTAATTCACATTCTGTTGCATGTTGAGGTGGCTCAAATCCAGAGTTACCAAGTTCATTTATTATGATCGACGCTGAGCTCGTTTATTTAATAAAGCCCAAATATGGGCAGTAGGGTTGCCTTTTTTGTGGGATCATTTCCAGAATTACAATTGCATCACAAAATGACCACTTGGTCATTATTCAGTGTGCAATTTCAGATGTTTCTCTCTATAATGTCGGGTTGTGTTAAAATGAGCAAGAGAAAGAGCTCAGCTCTCACATTTCCAACTATTTGCTGACATAGTTCATTTTTGTTCATTTTAAGCCTATGATTCAAATGAACTGTCATGACGAATAACCATTAAAGAATGAATTTTTAAAGATTTTTAAGATCAATTTTTCTGTTTTTTTTTTTCAGATTTTTCTGTTGATCAATTCTTCAGAATTAATCGACTCTTTACTCGTGATCGTCATCGATGAAACTGTGAAACTTTTTAGTTACTTTTGCAAAAGGATATAAGTGTGTCATAAACATTTATTTGCAGAAAGATGCAGTTCTTCACATAAAGCAGACCAATTAGCCTATATTAAGAAATGTGAGGAAAAAGGTTTAAATGCATAAACTAAAGGGTCACTTTTGGTGAGGCAAGCTGCTTATTTTGCAATTGTTTAGTCAGATCACGTCACTTATCTTTCTAGCAAAATCTGGCAACACTGCTCACATCCAAACCGCTGCACGGATGTTTTTTTTAAACTCTCCACATGCACAGCCTGTAATAGGGAGGCACACGTGGGCATGTCTAGCTGTCACAGCATGTGGGCGTAGAAAGTGGGAGTGTGAGGGTGGAATTTTCTGTGGACTGTGGAGGTTGAACGTTTCCGCTGGATCTCTCTTCCATATGGAGATGTGTGGTTTTGAATCACTGCTCTAGAACGCAAACAACTCTTGAGTCTGAGGCTACAGAAAAGGGTTATACAAATGTGTGATGAATCATGTCCACTGAAGTCACAGAAGGCTTTACATAACCCATTAATAAGATTGAATAAAACATTCAGACTCAGAATATATATATATATATATATATATATATATATATATTCACTATGAAGTGTGGATGAATAGCCTAAATCAGGGATGGGCAACTTCGGTCCTGTAGGGCCACTGTCAGTTTAGCTCCAACAAATCATGTGTGGGAAACAGAGTCGCAATGATTGCTAAGAAGCATGCTAACTTCACAGATGAATGTTTGAACAGTAAATGATTGTGGAAAAACACCCCCTCAACAGCCAGCATGTTGATGTGCTGTGCTGTTTGTCTCCCTGAAGCCTGTGATGACTGTTGAGAGAGTGGAGTCCCAGGGAGAGGGTCAACTCATTTCCTGTCCCCATTTCCACACAGCTGCTGGTGTCATGCATCCCATGTGAACAGCGTCCTTAGATATCAAAGTTGACCCACAATTCCTCTAGGAATATTAATGAATAATTATATCATTGTTTACAGACAATCTCTATAAAGATTGCATCATTCATCACTGCCTTTTTGTGATAGGAAGTTTATATAATTTTAAATAAGGACGCAAGGTGACAGAAAATCTAGAAATCTAAAATACTTTTACCCTTTAATTGTTCCACTGTGTATGTGATGATGACATTTCTTTTTTTAATTCAATTTGAATACAAAGTTTGAACTGTGAATGTTTTGAAATTCTCTAATTGGGAACTGATTGTTCTATTCAACGTGATCGTAAAAATGACACATAATCTCTCATAATTATCTAAATAAACAAATGTAATAAGCAAATGTGTCACGGTTCGCAGGTTCTGAGTGTACTGTTCTGGTCTGATTGCCTATCAGTGTCGGCTGTGCTGACTGGCAATCAGATCAGTCACAGGTGTGTCTCGTTTATGAATCCTATAGTCTTGTGTTTGTCATGTTCATTGTCAAATCGTTTTTTTCTGGTAATCCTTGTCTCGCTGTCTGTGCAGTTCGCCTGTTTCCAGTTCCTGTCTACTATATTATTTCCCCTCATCTGTTCCAGAGTTTGGACTTGTGGCCGGTTGGGTTCGTCATTGTCTTTGTGCACCTTTCCTATCTTCTTGGATTTCTAGCCCACCGTAGTCTCTGTGCTGCCAAGAGCCGAACTGCCGATCGAAGACATTCTCCAGCCTGCCTTGTTCACTTGCTACTTCTTGCTACTTGCCACCCAGCTTCAACATCTGAGAGCCGAGCCTGCCCACGCGCTGCACTCAACTCACCCACCGAATGCAACTACGACATTCGTAATAGGGAATTGTTGGCAGTCAAGTTAGCCTTGAAGGAGTGGGGCCATTGGTTGGAGGGCTCGGGGGTACCTTTCATTGTTTGGACCGACCACAAGAACCTTGAATGCTGTACATCAGGTCCGCTAAACAACATAATTTTTTTTCCAGTTGATTCGATTTGTCAATCTCCTACCGTCTAGGTTCTGAGAACATCAAGCCATTGTCCTGTTCAATGCTGACTTGGGCGATCGAATCGAAGGTCTGCACGGCCTTACATGGGCCTCCGCCCGGATGCCCACCGGGTCGGTTATTCATGCCAGAGAGATTAAGGTCCAACGTTATTCGTTGGGGTCATTGTTCCAAGGTGGCTTGTCATCCTGGAGTAAGTCGTACTATTTTTCTCATTAAGCAATGGTTCTGGTGGCAAACTATAGCTCGGGACACTCGTTGTTTTGTTTTGACCTGCTCGGTCTGTGCCAGTTGTAAGACTTCTACTCGACCCCCTGCTGGGCTCCTTCAGCCGTTGTCAGTGCCTTCAAGACCCTGGTCACACATTGCGCTAGATTTTGTCACAGGCCTCTCTGCCTCACAGGGTAACACGGTGGTTTTAACTGTGGTGGACAGGTTCTTGAAGGCTTCTAACTTCATGCCTCTGCTCAAATTACCCTGTGCCAGAGAGACAGCGGTGGCTGTCTTAGTCCATGTTTTTTGTATTCATTGCCTCCCGATATGGTCTCTAACAGCCAGGGGTCCCCAGTTTATATAGAGTTTTGTCGATTGCTGGGGATGAATGTCAGTCTTTCCTATGGGTTTCATCCCCAGAACAATGGCCAGACGGAGAGGGCCAACCAAGATTTGGAATGAGGGTTGCGATGTTTGGTGTCACAGAATCTGTCCTCTTGGAGCCAGCATATCTCACGGGTTGAGTATGCTCATAACTCTTTGCAGTGTCGTCTACAGGCCTGTCTATGTTTGAGTGTGGTTTAGGGTACCAGCCACCAATTTTTCCTAGTCTGGAATCCGGGTTCCCTCTGCTCACGAATTCGTCCAGAGGTGCAGACAAATTTGGAAAACAGCCAAGGAGGCTCTCCTCCAGGTGGTTTGCGCACCAAGGCCCAGGCCGATCGCTACCGATCAAAAAGGTGTGGCTTTCATCTACTGATATTCTCCTAAATTCATTGGCCTGTTCACCGTCACCAAGATCCTTAGTCCGGAGATGGTCCGCCTCAAACTTCCTCCGGCATACCGGTGAATTCATCCCATCTTCCATGTTTCAAAGATTAAGCCCCTTATTCGCAGCAAATCGTAGAGGGGGAGCCAGTATATTCAGTTGATCGTATTCTGGACTGAAGGTGGAGGGAACGAGGATTCCAGTGTTTGGTGGACTGGGAGGGTTACGGTCAGGAGGAGAGGAGTTGGGTTCCTGCCGGGACATATTGGATCATTCCCTTATCAATGATTTCAATCGCCAGGTAGGACCCTCTGAGAGTGCCAGGTGACGCTCCTAGGGGGTGGGGTAATGTCACGGTTCGCAGGTTTGTCTGTTCATTCTGAGTGTACTGGTCTGATTGGATTACTTCTCCTCATCTGTTCCAGAGTTTGGACTTGTGGCCGGTTAGTTTCGTCATTTTTTTTCGTACACCTTTCCTGTCTTCTTGGATTTCCAGCCCACTCTGTGCTGCCAAGAGCCGAACTGCCGATCCGAGACATTCTCCAGCCTGCCTTGTTCACTTGCTACTTCTAAATAAACCTTTATTCATTCACTATTGAATCCTGTGTATCAAACCTTACAAAATGATTATGGTTTTAGTTATCAATGTCACAAAATAGGCAATAGGTCTGCTTACATACAGCCAGTGTTGTTATTGTTAGCTTAAACTTAAATTATTAAAAATTTGTTTCAGTAATTGAAATAAAGCTGAAATAAATAAATAAAGCTGTACATTTTAGATGAAAATCCTTGGCAACTATATCAATCTCAGTCTCAGACAGGTTTAAGTTGTTTGCCAGGTCTTATGTAAATGGAAAAGAGGTTGTGCCACATTATTAAGCAAGTCACAGTTCTCAAGCCTTATCTTTCTGAAGATAAACAGCATGAAATAGTGCAATGTCTTGCAAAAGGCATAACAAATTATATTTTGGAAAAACTGAATAGAGATTTGTGATTGTCAAAAGATTTGTGAGTGCACAGAAGAACCTGGTCAGATAAAGACTTATTAAGGGATTTACAAAAGAAGACCCATTTTCTTTGCAAAACTCAAATCTGAATGTTTACTAAAATCCCACTGATATGTCACTTGCATAATTTGGAACACATGCAGTTTCAATTACTGAAACCGATTTTTAAGTTAACAATAACAACACTGGCTGCAATGTAAGCAAATCTGAAATTACCTAATATAACCCTGCAATTGTGAACTGAATCCAACATCAACCAACTTCCTGTGAAAGCCGTGAACAATAGGCACCCCGTGGGCCTTCTATACAACCCCCAAATCAGCCTTGAGAAACAGCTT